GGCATCTAAAAAAAAAAGCAAAAACAATGTCTCAATACTAAGGTAAAACAAATACATCTTGTTTCCACTGACTCATAAATTCAGGTGAGTAACCTGTACTTGCCAAGTGAGAACATTTACACCGGCATTTCAAGCCTTTAAAAATTTCAATGTGAAAAGAAGTTTTGAAATCATTTAATCTCCCATCACACTAGGCCTAAATCCTTTCTTTGCCATCCTCAGGTATACTCAACTGTCTTTGCCTATTTGGCAGCTAGTGATATTACAGAAGTGTGGTACATCAATTCAATGGAATACTACTCAATAAGAACAGGGAATGAACGGATACACACCAACATGAATAAATCTCAAATGCATTATGCTAAGTGAGACAAGCCAGAATCAAAAGGCTGTATGATGTAAAACCCTTTTCTTTTAAAAATACAGACAGGAGGCCGGGCGCGGTGGCTCATATAAGGAGACATTTTAATATTCTTTTCCCATAGTCAAAAGGATGGCTGGTATGCATCTACTTTGGAAACCTTAGGTTTAAACTATTTATAAGCAATTCCTAAAGTCAAAAATGATAGCAAATTTCATTTTACTGAGGTACAAATCTGAATACCACTTTCGAAGGTGGTATACAAGGATCAGGCACTGATTAGTAAGTAGGTCTAGTCCACACTTAACATCAGAACCTCAATCCAGCCTTGTTTCCTCTTTATTATCTCAAACACATATTTTATAGGAGAAAGTACATATTAGGTAATATTTGCAAATTTGTGGAATTCAAAAAGTTCTTCAATCTATTTAAAAGTTTAAAAACATATAAACACTGACTGATTGGACTTACATTAAACCATATATATATTCGTGCATAAAAGATGCAATGAAAAGAATAATTTTAAAGGGTATAGAATTCTTTTAATTATATAAATTCTACCACAGGGAAAAAGTGTTTAATATGAAAAAGGAACAGTAATTCAATTAAGCTTTTTCACAGCAGTAGTATAAGATTATATTATGGCATTTTCAACTCAATAGAAAACATTCTATTGAGTTAAAAATACAAAATAAAAATAATTTCATGAAAATAAATTTCTTGTCTTTGACCACTTATAAGTTTGACCTTGGGATACTTACTGTCTGAGTAGTTGTCGACCTTGTTTCCACATTAATTGGCTGTTTTGTTGTGGCTGCACTTCTGTTTCATTACCTTCATCTGGAAAACATTAAATCATAATAAAACTGACTTGTTTTACCTGTTAGAGGACATCACAATTCATAAAAAATGTCCAAACACTTATCAAGTTAAAAATTTATAAAACTGCAAGTGTAAGGTATGTTTTAGGAAAATGTAAATTCTGTTTTTAACTCTCATTTCCATAACAAAACTCTAATTTAAATTAATTATTGCTACTGGATTCCCCTTAGAGTAGCAGAATTAAAATATAGACATTTTCCCTATCTTTAGTTAGCCTAAGAATTTTCCTCCAGGACAAAGACCTATCGAGTCACACAACAAGAGCAAAATAAAAGTATTATGATGTAACACATCAGTAGAACAAAATATCAATAAATGATGGCAGAAAAGCCAGTTTGATAAAGAGCAGATATATAAGGAATAATCTCAATCCAAATCTGTTTCCTTCCCTAGCTGTTAAATGAAAACCTCAAGTATTCTTTTAAAGACATTCTTTGAATGAAAACCTCCTGAGTGTCTTAAAGCTTAAATTCATCACTAGGTAAAAGCAGAATCTTTTTTAAGAAGGTGGTAAAACAAAGAGTTTTTCCTATAGTAAGACTGGACTGAAGAATTTCCAAACTACGCTATGGATTAACTTCAACAATACAAAAGAGTTCATACTTACTATCAGCCTTTGATCAAACTATAAGAAACTGCTGATCTTTACAGGATCTTATTCAAGTAGAGATACAAAAGGGACTTGAAAAATCTGTTTTGTGATATTTGAAATTAAGCATTTACTATGTGCTGTATTCTAGACACTGTGTTAAAAATATATACATTATCTCTTTTAATCCTTACAAGCTCAAAAGACAGCTGTTAATCCCCACTTTAAAGAAAAGAAAGCTGAGTTTCAGAGGATAATATTCAGGTTTATTAGTTAGAAATACAGTTGTTAAGTGTTGAATTCCTTTCTGTTTCCCTGCAGAGCCTCAGCATTTTCCTTCATATGCTATCACTACAATGATAGGAAAGCAGAGAAACACATTAATAAAAATAAGAATTAGATCTTGCATGTTTGTTTTTCTCCAAAAATAACTCTGAAACAACCAGATTAAATTCTGTGATATACCAAAGAAACAGTAATAGAATAGACTGGGGCTTAGGGTGGGGGTTTGGGGGGAAAAGAAAATACAGGGAATTCAATTAATTCTGAAAAGAAGTTAATTACTTTGAGATAACTATAAAGAGGGCATCGGCCGGGCGCGGTGGCTCACGCCT